TCTTAATTACTAACCCGTTTCTATTAATCTAAGTATCCATGTTGTCTTATCTTGCCAGAGAAGGGTCTGGACCTCTTACCCCTTTGCGTTTCCCAGAATTCTCCTCATCTCTTAGACCCACCTATCTTGCTTCCCTATTGGTCAATAGTGTTTTATTCATCAACCAATAAGAGAAACATATGTACAGAAGACTTCCCCATCACACTGTGTGACATAGGCTAGCCTCAAACTCAAAAGATCTTCCTGCCTCTGCCTCCTGAGTGCTGTGATTAAAGATGTGTACCACCTCTGGGGCCTATGGTCTTTATGCTATTGTCAGAGTCTCATGACCACCAAGATCTTGCCATTTCTTGTGCTGAATCTCAGAGGTGCCTCTTCATCATACATCATGTGACAGAATAAAAAGATACATACATACATACATACATATATATACATACTTCATTTCCTCTTAATTTTAAAACTTCGAATTTTAAAATTAAAGGTTTTCCAGGGTCTTACTAATTTAGCATACAAAAGTTATCTTTAAACTTTTTAAGTGAAATAATTACTAGGTTTGTTCCTTGTTTCTATCCATATAATTCATGGAGCGGCTTGTGTTTTAGTCTGTTCTCAAGCTTTTAAAATTCCTTTGACAGCCTGGAGATGAAATTCAAAAACCATTAATGTGATGTGTTAATTTTGCACTTTTTGACTTACTGCAAAAATCTTATAGTTTCCATAGCAACAATAACCTATCCAGATTGTGTAATATTCTTCACAGTATTAAAAATAAAACTGCAATTCCATGAGTTCCTGGAGCACTTCATGTAGAACTGGGAATTGAAAGATTTCAGTGAAAAATAAGTTGTGATTAAATGTGAACAATTTGTCAAAAAGCTCTTTATAATTTCAGGAATTAATGTTAAATATTCAGTAGTGGATAGTGAGTAGCTAATATAATAGACACGAAGCATGTACATAGTGAGCATGTGTGTCAGTATCACAAGCACATGGGCTCTGTGCACTCAGCTGTTCTGCCTCAAGGTAGGAGGTGGCACCTGCTGCTTGTGCTTTTTAGTGGTAGTAAATGACCTGAAGGCCCAGGAAACAGTGGAAAAAAGGGGAAAAGAGCAAGAGAGCTTTTCCTAATGTTTGTCTTTGCTCTTTAAAATGTGCCTGTGGCCGGGAAGTGATGGCACACGGGAGGCAGAGGCAGGCAGATCTCAAGAGTTCAAGGCCAACCAAGTCTATACATAGTGAGTTCCAGACAAGTCAGGGATACAGAGTGAGACCTTGTCTTAAACATCCCCACTCCTGCCATCATGTTGAAAATGCTAAAGATTATTTAAGTAGGCAGTTGTTTCTAGAATATCAAGTTATTTTGGATCCCCCTCCATGCTAACTTAAAGCCATTATATTATCAGTACCATTAAGTAGAATACTTCCTGTATCTTAGAATGTACTTTTTTTAGTATTAGTTTCAATATACATTTAGATGTATATATTTATTTATAGTAGTATAGTCTATATATGTATTTTTAATATTACACACTGTCGCTGGGAGGTGGTGCGCATGCATGCCTTTAATCCCAGCACTTGGGAGGCAGAGGCAGGCAGATTTCTGTGAGTTCGAGACCAGCCTGGTCTACAAGAGTTAGTTCCAGGACAGCCTCCAAAGCCAAAGAGAAACCCTGCCTTAAACAACAACAACAAAAACCAACAAAAAAGCAATCTTACAGAGTGTCCTAGTTGATTTCTGTGACTGTGATGAAACACTGACCAAAAGCAACTTGGGGAGGGAGGGAGGGAGGGAGGGTTCATTTCATCTCACGGCTCCATCACCAAGGGGTCTGGATAGGAGCGGAAGCAGAAGCTCAGAGGATGCTGCTCACTGACTTGCTCTCCTTGGCTTGCTTAGCTTGCTTTCTTAGACAACCCACAATCACCTGCCCAAGGGTGGCTCTGCATGAGTGGGCTGGGCCCTGCCATACCAGTCATTAATCAGGAAAACGCCTCACAGACTTGCCCATAGACTGTTTCCTCAGTTGTGGTTTCCGCTTCCTAGGTGACTCAAAAAAAGTAAAAAATAAAAGATGCTTTTAATTATCCTGATGGACATATAATGGAAAAAGTAAATACAATTCTTAGACTGATGGTGGGAAGAAAACATCTGTAACTCATTTATTTGCCCAAAATAGGTAATTAAGAAAACATTCAAAAGAAATTTTATTTTCTCTCCTTCTGTTGTCTTAAGTAATTAATTAATCAACTAATTAAATTTTTTTTGTGGTGGTAGAGATTGACCCTAGGGCCTTTGGCATCCTAGGCAAATGCACTACTACTGACCTACATCCCAGCTCTAAGTTGATGTGTTAAAAGGCACACTGTGAATAATATCTAAACTCTTTTGTCTGCTATTAGATATAGAAGTAGCTAAGTAGGACAAATGTGCCAGTTTGGTGCAGTCATTTAGTAAAACCAGAACATCATGGTGCACCTTGCACCTCTAATACAGTGGTTCTCAGCCTTGCTAATGCTGTGGCCCTTTACATATATAATAAAATAATATATGTATATATTACATATACATATGCTTTATTGTTTTTGTTTGTTTGTTTTGGTTTTGTCTTTTCAAGTTAGGGTTTCTCTGTATAGCCCTGTCTTGGAACACAATCTGTAGGCCAGACCGACCTTGAATCCACAGAGACCAGCCTACCTCTGCCTTCTGAGAGCTGATATTAAAGGTCTCTCTCTGTCTCTGTCTCTCTGTCTCTGTCTCTCTGTCTCTGACAGACACACACACACACACACACACACACACACACACACACACACACACACACACACACACACACACACCCTCCAGCTAAAATTTACCAATTCCCCTCATTTTCATTTTTTCAGTCAGGGATTAAACCTAGGACATCTTAGTGGAAGTACCACTGTGTTAAGCTCCTGTCCTCCAAAGACTTGTTTTTTATGAAACAGGGTTTCTCTGTGTAGCTTGACTGTGCTGGAACTGGCTGTCCTGGAACTCTTGCTGGCGCTGAACTTACAAAGTTTTGTCTGCCTCTGCTTCTGTCTCCTGAGTGCTGGGATTAAAGGCATGTGCTGCTACACCTTGTAGTGATATATTATTTATGATTTATTAAAGCTTGCCTGAGGACTCAGAAAGCATAGTCAGCCTCAAACTATAGAGATCAGGTAATGTTGGCACACACCTTTAATCCCAGGCCTCAGGATTAAGAGGTAGATAAATCTCTGCTAGTTCAGGGCCACCATGGCCTACACAAGAGTAAAGAGTAACAGAGTGGCCTGCTGCTTTGCTTTTCTGATCTTCAGCCTGAAGTTCAAACCTCAATATCTGTCTCTGGATTTTTTTTTTTTTGTCTCTGGATTTTTTGTTTTATACACCTGGCTGCTATGACCTGTTAATTCCTCGTGTTGTGGTGACCCCAACCATAAAATTATTTTTGTTGCTATTTCATAACTAATTTTGCTAGTTATAAATTGTAGTGTAAATACCTGTATTTTCTGATGATCTTAGGTTACTCATATGAAGTACCCCATAGATTGAGAGCCACCGGTCTAGATGTTAAATATTTACAAATACCTGATAGTTTGCCTTGAATGCTGTGCTGGGCTGTGCCATGCACTGCCATTGTGTCCCTAGGTAATAGGAAGTTGTCAACTCGACTATGTTATGGGACCACAAATATGTGTGATTTATCATTGATTGAGATTTTATTATGCAGTCACGCATGACTAATAGGAAAAACAGTACAGAGCCAGTGTTGTTTGTTGATCTTTTAGTGGAAATACTTTTATTTTTATTCTTTTAGAATTATTAACACAGTTGTATATAGTATAAACGAAACCTTAAACAGTACAGTTGTACATAAAATGTAAAAGCTTTCCTTTTTACTGTGTTTCCAGTTTCTCTTCGCTTCTCAGAAGTTAGCAGAACTGTTAACCCCTTTATTTTATTCTGTTGCTCAGGCTCAAACCTAAGGCTTTGGTGTGCAGTGAGCTGTTTTGGCTAGTAACCAAAAGACAAAAATTGGAGGGTAGTAAATTACGTCCCTATTATTAGAACAAGCAGTGGCATGATTTGTGTTTATAGGTAATCAAACCACAGTTATGTCAATCAGCTGGGACCATCTTGTGGCTGGTTCTGGTGTCTGTATTCTGAGAATGTTAACTATTAAAATAGCCACTCATCTGATTGCCTGCCCTGGTTACTGAAACATATTGTATCTTCCTGACCCCCTCCACCTCCCCTCTGAGTGCTAGTACTAAAGGTGTGTACCACCACTGCCTGACTACCTTTGCTTATTTTCAAAACCCAGTCTTAACTACTGGGTTTCTCTAGGAGTGTTTAGATAAAGCTGTGTTGGTGCAAGTTTTGAAGTCTTTTTTTGTTTTGTTTTGTTTTTTGTTTTTGTTTTTGTATTGTTTTGGAGGCTGTCGGTCCAGCCTGGCCTCGAACTCACAGAGATTCGCCTGCCTCTGCCTCCCGAGTGCTGGGATTAAAGGTGTGCACCACTACCGCCAGGCAAGTTTTGAAGTCTTAAAAAAGACTTTTACTTGGCACCTTGGAACTTGGGACCATTTAAGTGACTCTTGTAGTTTATATCTCTTAGTTATTTTGCAGTCACGGTTTATAACAAGGCTTCTGTAGACTTGAGATAGTTAAGAAAGGAATGGCAATCATCTTAGAATATGTTTGAGTTTATGTCTATGCTTTACTCTTTGAACCTAGTACTGTGTTTATTATCTTATTCTGTTCATTTTGAATTTCATGTTTTAGCTCTGTCTGGTGTTTTCATTATAGCATGGATTTCTTATTTTTACAGTAGAAATATTACAAAAATAATCAGAGGTATGTGCCATAGTGAGAATATTTATAGATCATCAAGAGACTAAATACGTTTCTGTTGTTTTTTTTTTTTTAGTTATAATTTTAAGTCTAAATGTAGTATATGGAAAAATAAAAACTGTTTTTTTTTCACACGCAGAAAAGATGAAAAGGAATATGCACTGAAGCAAATTGAAGGCACAGGAATATCCATGTCAGCTTGTAGAGAGATTGCAGTAAGTAGATAAGGATGCTTTATTTTGTTGTTGATATTGGAGGTTTTTAAAATATAAATATATTTAATATAAATATGCATTAATGTTTTCATTGTATAATGAATGATAATTTCACAGATTTATATAAAATGAGAAAATCTGTAAGCTTAAAATCACTTGGAAGTCATTTTTGAGCCCTGGCCTCCCAACTGACACCTTAGGTTTGGTCCTAAGTTGTCAGAACGGGCGCCTGTGTGTTCCCACTTGCTCAGGTCAGCATTTTCTTAATGATATTTGAGGTTTGTAATTTAGAGATACTGAATACACATGATTTAATTAAAATTATGGCATATAATTGCTTGAGTGAATAATTATTAAAATCTATTCTCCTGTAATTTTAAGTCTGATACTTCATTTTTAAAAATAATTCTTAAAGGATTTTATTTGTTTGTGTGCATGTATGACTATATGAGTTTTTTTGTTCCATGCATACAAAGGGTTAAGCTCTGTTGAGCATGGTACAAATCTTTAGAGAAGGATGTTCGCCTCCCTGTCTTACTATGACATACCCTTGCCATAAGCTTAGACAGGGTTAGCCATATCTGCTGAGGACTTTCTAAATTCAGCCACTTAATTTCTACAGTTCTGTGCATTAAGTACTTTTAGTATACCTATTTCATACCAGGAAACAGGCAAAACAGAGCTCTGGTTTTGAAGGCTTGCTATTACAGTGTCTTATTTTAATTCTTCAATAAAGGTTTTTAACTGGGCTTTGTCATGCTTTTACATTTATTAGAGACTATTCTCTCTAAATTGTTAACTATTTAAATAAGGTTTGCTTAGTAATTCTTAAACAGTTATTTACATTTTTCATATTTATTAGGTATGTATATATGTAGATTTTGCAAAAATTGACCCCCCCCAAATACTACCTTTCTGTGGATTGTGCATTAATCTAAAGTAATACAAGTGTAAATTTCAGCTATAAAGTTATTGGACAATTTATTAGTCATTCTAGGTTATGTGGGGTATAGAACAAATTATAAGATGGAACTCCTTCGTACTCTTAAAAATTGAGATGCTTGCCTGGAGGTGGTGGTGCATACCTTTAATCCCAGCACTCAGGAGGCAGAGGTAAGCAGATCTCCATGAGTTAAAGGCCAGCCTGGCCTACAAAGCAAGTTCCAAGACAGACTCCAAAGCTACACAGGAGAAACCCTGTCTCCAAAAGCAAAATGGAACAACAACATTGTTGTTGAGATGCTTGCATAACAAGAGGTATCAGGACTGAAGGCTGTAGAGTGTAGGTCAAGAGGTGCCTTAATCTTTTTGGAATATTGTGACAGAACAGCAGAGACTAGATGTCATGAAGGTATCTATTTCTGACACTTCTGGAGACTAGAACCTCCAGTATCGGGGCACTGACAGAGTCTGTCTGGATAGGCCTAGTTCCCAGTTTATGGATTGTCGGCCATCCTTTTCTTGTGTCTTTCTATTGTATAAGGATAAAAGGAGGCCTGGTGTTGGTGGCACACGCCTTTAATCCCAGCACTCGGGAGGCAGAGGCAGGTGGATCTCTGTGAGTTCGAGACCAGCCTGGACTACCAAGCGAGTTCCAGGACAGCCTCCAAAGCCACAGAGAAACCCTGTCTTGAAAAACAAAAAACAAAAAACAAAACAAACAAAAAAAAAAACAACAAAAACAAAACAAAACAAAAAAAAGGATAAAAGGAATCTCTGGAGTCTTTTAGAAGGGAATGAATCCCATTCACAAGGGCTTTGCTCTCTGACTCTACCACCTCCTACCTCACAGGGGGCCCATGAATAGTGACTTCAGTTTGGGGGTTAAGATGGAAAACTTTGAGTTGGGGCTGAGGCATGTAAACATTTCGTGTAGAACTGGGATGGTAACTCAGGGGGTCAAGTGCTTGTTCCACAAGTCCCAAGACCGACTTCATACCTAACACCCAGTCAAAGCTGGCTAGGTTTGCCTGTATTTGTAGTGTTTGGGAGGTGGGGGGGCTGGGGGGTGGGGAGTTCCCTTAAAGCAAGGCGGCTAGTTAGACTCACTGAATCAGTGTGCTCTGAGTTCAAGTGAGAGCTCCTAACTCAGTAAATAAAGCAGAGTGCAATCAAGGAAGACATGTCCACACATGTGACCACACTGATTTCTGTACATGTGAACATATGTGCACACATACCACGCACATAAACACAAAAATTGTGGCAACAGAAGCCTCATCTGCATTCATGCCAGAGGGAGGAGAGAGGTCAGCAAACCCCTTTTCCCTAGTGCTGAGAATTGAACTTAGTCCTCATACATGTGAGGTGGCTGCTCAACCTGAGTTATATTTCTAGCCCCAATCTGGACTTCTTGTCTGCTTGCTGCCTCTCACTTCTGGCCTTTGTCATCTGAGAAGCCCTGCTTCCTCAGTGACTTATGCTTGACTGTTTCCAAATGTGCACACACGTCCACATTCCAGCTCTGGTGTTCCCAAAGTGACAGGCAGATGAGCTGTCACTTTCAGTTTTGTGCCCACAGTGCAGTGGGCAGTGGAAACGGAGTGGCCAGTGAAGAGCGTGCCACTGCCTGCCTGCTCTGCTGCTCTCTGGCCGGGCAGCCAGCCGCTTATAAAGTTCAGTGGAATGCTTACAACTTTTGGTATAGATGATTAAGCCTTTGTTTTTTTTTTTTTTTAGTTATGAAATGGAATTGGTAGAATGTATGTTAGCTGGTAGTTAACTCTGAGAAAAGCTTTGAAATGTCCATGAATAAAGCTGTTTAAATTTCTCTAATTTATCTCTGCAGACTTAACAATATTGCATTAAATTTCATATATTAAATGTGGAGAAGCACATGGTGTTATGTAGTGATTTTAAGAGTTTTTGGTTTTTTCGAGACAGGGTTTCTCTGTATTGTTTTGGAGGCTCTCCTGGAACTCACTTTGTAGGCCAGGATGGCCTCGAATTTACAGAGATCCGCCTGCCTCTGCCTCCCAAGTGCTGGGATTAAAGGCGTGCGCCACCAACACCCGGCTTAAGAGTTTTATAAATAAAGTTTGCATAAGCTACAAAAAGTGGAGGAGTGTCTTGTTGGGATTATGTTATTGTATCATTTTATGTTTCAGTGAGTCTAAATTTCCCTCACTCTGCCCAACTTTATGAAAGTGTAGATTGGTGGAACTAGTTATATAATTCAGGATTTGCCCTTCTGTGAAAGGATTAGATTTCAGTGAAAAGTCTTGAAAAGCAGATAACTTCTTTTTTTTTTTTTTTTTTTCTAAACAGGATTTCTCTATAGGTTTGGAGGCTGTCCTGGTACTCTCTTTGAAGACCAGGCTGGCATCGAACTCAAAGAGATCTGCTTGCCTCTGCCTCTTGAGTGCCGGAATTAAAGATGTGCGCCACCATGGCCTGGCAGCAGATAACTTTTTTAGAAGATATTTTTTAATAGGATGTTCTATGATAATTTTTTCTTAAAAAGTTTGACATGGTTTTTAGAGTAGAACTTAAGAAATTTCATGTGACTTACTTTGGCCAAAATCTCTTCTTTGGATGCTTTCTTCTTTTTCTTTTTCCTTGGTTTTTTGAGACATGGTTTCTCTGTGTATCCCTGGCTGTCCTGGAACTCACTGTGTAGACTAGGCTGGCCTTGAACTCAAAGATCCACCTGCCTCTGCCTTCCAAGTGCTACTGTCATAGGTGTGTGCCACCGCTGCCTGGGTTCTCTTGAGTTTGAGGCCAGGTTGATCTACATTGGGAGTTCCAGGCCTGCCAAAGCTACATGCATAGTTGAGACCTTGTCTCAAACAAACAAGCAAATAAAGTATATTCTTAGAAGATAACAAAGTATAAAATTTATTGTTTCTATGTGTTTGTGGGTATACATTGTGTCTGTATGCCTGTATGCTAGTACTTGTGTGTACATGTGCATGTGGAGGCCAGTGGTGGCCGTCAGATATCTTTGCTACTTGTTTTACACCTAGGTTTTGTTGTTGTTTTCATTTGGTTTTTTAAATAACATTTTTATTAATTCGTTGGGAATTTATAGCGTGTTTTGAGCATATATACATAGCCTCAGCTCCTCCCTTATCTGTCCTTTCCACTTTCACCTCCCAGCATCTTAATTTTTTGAGGCATGGTTTCTTTAATCTGTATTTTGCCAATCTGGCTAGACTGGCTAGCAGCAAGTCCCAGGGGTCACCCCCCCACCCCCGCCTCATCTCTGCCTCTAGTTCAGGGAGTACAGGTGTGTGTTGTCTGCTTGGCTGTTGTGTATGCTGGGGTTACATTTTTGCGCTTGCATAGAAACATTTCACTGACTGATCCATCTCTCCAGGCCTAAACTGTAAACTTTAAGTCACTTAAATTTAATGATCCTGGATTCCAAACAAGATGGACATTTATCTGGAGAGTGTGTGTAAACCCACATGCACGTATGGCGACCAGAGAACTACTTTCAGGAGTTGGTTTCTGTCTTTCACTTTGTTGAGACAGTCTCCCATTTCTCCTTGCTACGTTTCACACTCCAGACTGGCTGACCTATGAGCTTCTGGACTCATCACGGAAGTGGAGTGCAGGGATCACAGGTGCTTGTTTGTATGTACATATTTGCATGCCTGGCGTGTATGTGGAGGTCAGAGGGCAACTTGTACGTGTCAAGTTTTTCTTCCCACTCGGTGAGTTCTGGGGTTGAACTCTAGATTGACAGGCTTGGTGGCAATTGCCTCTACTTGCCATCTTCTTGACTCTGAAAATATGTCATTAAAATGGGGGAAACCCCAAACAATACTAGAGATATATTCCCTTGGTTTCACTGTAAGGTGGTAAAGGACTTGCATTTTGGATTTAAATAGATTCCATCATGACTCTTGAATGCCTTGAATAAGCTGATAGTAATGCTGGGACCTATCTTACCTATTTTTATGTAGTTATAGACATGAGGATTTTTTTTTCTTTTGAGAGAGGGTCTTTCTGTGTAGCCTTGACTGGCCTGGAATTCATTGAGACCACATGCCTCT